AGAAGAGGAAAAAGTTGTGAAGAGATATCTTCGTTTGCACGAGATATGAATTTATTTGGGCAGCCAGCCATCCTCGCAAGCATTCTTCTCACAACATCCCCAAACCACAGAGGAATTCTGCGGCATTCATATTTCACAGAAGCTTCTAATGGCAAAGGAACCCTTAAAAAAAAAAAAAACTAAAATAGAGGAATTTTATTGCTGTGGCACCGTGGATCATAATGATTCTCTCTCACAAGAAACTCTCTGAATAAACCCGGTGGCCACAAAAAAAAAATTAAGAATCGCTAAAATACTCCCTGTGAAAATTCACTATAAGCAAAATGCACTCTGTCCCCCAATTATTTCCCCAACTTTCTTCCCTATCCCTTTTCCCCCAAGATTATTGTGTTCACTTTTCTCGGATTTTATTTACAAAACACAATGTTAAAATAAACTGGTATTAATGTACCTTTCCGTTCCAGAACGCCACAATCTCTTTTTCATCGTCGCTCAAATTTTCGGTATTGACGGGACCACATCTCTGCCATTTCGTTATCTTTTTGCTGTTTTCGTGCTGCACGTAAATCATCTCCCACGACATTTCTCGGGATAACTCCTCCCAACCATTAAAATATGCCGCCAGGCACTCAGTGAACTGCCGCACAGTGCTGGTTGTCGTGTGGTGCCCACCCGCCGTAGCCATCCGCAGCCCAACCAGCGTCTTCTGCGGTGACTCTATGAAGAAAAAGGCGTCCACCAACGGAAAGTTTTGAGCCACCGGTTTGTACAGCACCCGAGACCCTATATTAATCTTCTTTTTAAATTTTTCCAGTAACGGTAAAAGACAGGGCTTGAGAGGGCGCTCATGTGGACGTGATTCCAGCGCACAGCGGTGTGGCGGAGCATCTTCTTGCAGTTTCAGCTCCCTGAGTTTCGGTATTATTGCACTTACAAAGGCCCCGCTAAAAAAAGTAAACACGGAATGCTTTTCAAGGGGTTTTGATAAGAGATCGTCCCTGATGGCCAATACGAGTAAAATAAAATTATTCGGCGCCATTAACTCCGCCAACTTGCATGTCACCAAATTTCCGAGATAAGGAGACATCAGTGCATTGTAAGGCAATTCCAATTTGCTTCCTCCTCGTACTCGTACGACCTTTACAACTTTGTGAGAGATGTGGCTATCATCGCACACTTCATTAGTCCCCAAAATAGAGTAATAGTGGGTAGCAAAAAGGTTCATTGATTTAACTCTACTTTCGCACGAGACAAGCCGAGATTTGTATTCGCTGTCATCAAAGATGTAGCGAAGAAGTGGTCCCACTTTATCCATGCGATCCTTCACCTTCTTCCAGTAGTCCGCTTCTTCCTCCCTCAGCTGCCGATTGTGCTTCATCCAAATGCACATTGGCCTCACATCGCTCTCGT